TTTTTTCCTTTTTTTTTTTTTTTTTTTGAAAAAAAAAAAAAAGGAAACTGCTGTGTTGAGGGGTGGGGGAGAATAGCAGATTAGAGCTAAGATGTAGTGTTTGTTGCTCCACCTCCTCCCTCCCTCTCTTCCTTTGCTTGCTGTAGGGTGGTTAGGCCTGGATGCTGGTGTTCACAGGAGCGATCTAGAAAAGGGGGGCAGGGGTTGACTTTGTTTTGATGCTCTTCTGTGCAGGACCCTTTTCTTCTTCTTCCCAAGACTGTCTCTGCTCTTTGAATGAGGCAGATGCTTGTGTGGGTATTACGTCAACCCACCAAAGCCCCGACACCTATCAGTTTCCCCATGCGCCAGGTGCAGTGAAGTCATAGAAAGAAGTCCCTGCCCTGGAGAACTGGCAGTCTGAAACCGGCAAGGTGAAATGTGGGAGGGAAGAGCGTGGCACGTGTTTAAAAGTAGTAGCCCAAGGTCATACAGCAGGACAGTGGCAGAACTGGAAGTTCCCAGCCTGGTACCTTCCCCCAAGAACATGATGCCTCTGTAGAAAGGACCTTGCACCTTTTCCGATCCACCTAAGATAAGATCTGCTGGATGGGTAAATTAGCTGAACGATTCGTATGTGCTGGGTGGCCGAAGGGCAGGTTCCCACTGACAGCTGGAGCTCAAAGCCTGGTCGCACTGAGACTTGAGGGGGGAAACAGTTCAGCAACCATCCATCTTGTGAGGCTTTCTCCAGATCTGGCTGAGGCAGGCAAGATTCAAGGTGTTTGAAATGCTTCACGCGCAGCAGAGGCGATTCCCTACCAACATGAATCCTGTGGTGCCGACAGGAAGCTTAAGGTGTTTAATCTCAGGCTGGTTTACATCCAGTTCCCCATGTACTGCTCCCTGGTGCCCCGAAGTGAAATCTGCCTCTGACTGTTTCCTTCCCTTATTTTGAAGGGGGAGGCTGGAGCTTTTTGCCGTTCATCCTGAATCACTTAAAGCTCTGTGCAAACACTCCTGAGGTTCTGGTTCCCAGTAATCGAGCATCGGGGCTGTGCTGGCCCCATTACTCGTGGGATCATTTCTGACTCGGGCCTGAGCAGGAACTTCAGTGAGTTGGTTGCCTCCTCGAATGCAAGGGCATGGGGGTGTGGGGAGGGGGAAGTTGCTTTGCAATCTCTTCCCACTGCCAAGCCCTTACCCTCCTCTTAACAAGCCTCTAAAACCTGGATTCTCTTGGAGCAGTTTTAATATAGTTTCTAACACAAAAGGAAGTCCTGGCTTGCTTGGTAAGCAAGCTACATCCCTTCCCCACCCCCTTCGTTTTTATGACTAGTTATATATTAATCAGGAAGCCGATGTACAAGTCATGATCTGCACTGAACCCCATCCTCTCGTCCTCGTTCGCAGCTCCTCAGCCGGGGTTGCATTTCTGACATTTTTGTTGGTGTTCCTGTACTCCCCGCCCCAGCGCCTTTAGAAGATCTCTGCCCCAGAACACAAATGCCACGAGCCATTGAGGCCGTTGAGAGAGCCGAGACTAAGAGGGTTTACAGTTGGTGCGCGTGCGGCATGGTCTAATCCAAAAGTAAGAAAAAGTATAGCAAGAACCTGGGGTTACTCATCATTAAACGGCTGCATATCACCTCGCCCCCACGCTGTGCCAGAGACCTCCCTCTATTCCTTCTTAGAAAAAAACAGCGATATTCCCCAAAGCACATGAACGTCTTTAACTACAAGCATCTTACAAGTTCTTTGTCGTGTCAGTCTTAAGAGGGACGTCTTAAGCGGCTCAGTCTTTTGGGGGAGGGAGGGGGACACGGGGAAAGGCAGAGAGAGAGTACTTGGGGAAACCCCAAAGCAATTCCATTTAAAAATGCTTTTTTAGTCCCATGCATTACAGAAGAATCTCGTAGCAGACCAGGTGTTTTAGTTACCAGTCCTATAAACTCCTGTGTGTAGACAAAGCCCCAGTGACTCTGAGATACACAAAGGGATCTTATCTCCTGCTGCTCGTTCCAGAATGAAGTGCTTTTTTTTTTTTTCCTTCCACTTGGTAGGATCCCTAAGTCACCGTTTCCAGAAGAGACATTTCTATTTAGGCCTTGCCAAAGAATGTCAGGTATTTTTGTTTTTAAACGGCTTGTTGAAACTTAGAAAGCTTACTCCAGAACTTAAGAAGTTGGTGTGCAAAGCAGCAGTTAAAATATACCTTCACTCCTCCCCAGATTGGATTCATTGCAGTGAAACGTCCGATGTCGATATCCACGCAAGCGGGGCTGGATGGCAGTCGGGCCCCGATAAGGCTGCAGGCCCGTCGCTGGCAACAATGGTGCCTGTGTGCAGGGTAGAGCACTTGTGATCAAACTCCTTCTGCCTTCCATGGTGGTGAAGGCTTTCTTCTCCACCCCGATGCGCTGCGGGTGGAGGGGGGGATGGAAAAACAAGAATAGGAGATGGCAGAAAGAGGCAGTAGTCCCCTTTTATGCCCGTAGGCAGCTATGTGCCAGGTTAGCTTTTTAAGAGTGCTGTGGTTTGTGTGTGGCTTTTTTAAAAGCATGGCCTAACCCAATGAGGGGAAGATCTGAGACCCCCTTTCTAGAAGGGGGGTCAGCCCTGTAAGGCACTGAATAGCTGGCATCTCGATATGGCTGAGCAGGATGATCCAGAGAACCCCAACCTCCCCCAGGGAAGTGGCTGATGATCTTTGCTGCTTTTTTGTTGGTTCAGTCATTTGAATCTCTGCTCCTGCCCATGGGTGAGAGGTCAGCTGCAGCCGCCGAACACTTGCAAGCCCTTCTGGGTTGCAGGCCAAAGCAGAGCATGCTTTGCTGGCCAACGGTGGTGTTTTGACGTGAATTCCAGCCAACACACGCGTCCAGCAGCTCGGCTGCTCTCCCTCCCTCTCTCGCCTTTGTCATGTTGTTACGTGGGGCTCTGTCTTCCAAACACAAGATTAAGTTATTGTTAACTATTTATTTGACATATTGAGGATAGTAGGCTCCAGACAGCCTGCATCAGGAGGGAGGCGGGTTCTTGGCAGTGTCCTAATGAAATTTGGGGTTCCAGCCCATCCCTGTCTATCTGTGGCATCTCCACTGGAGGCAGCTAGGCCTGATGCACTTTCCTATAGGCCCCAGGCACGTTGCTCTGGATTTAGATGAGTGGGTGGAGCAATATTTGGCACAGGAGCCGGCGTCTCCTTCCTGCCCCCCGAAGGTCACAGGACTCAGGCTCTGCTGGTCAGGAAGACTGAGAGAAGTGAGCGGCTCCGTGGTGATGGCAGAGCCAGCAAGGCGCGAGTCTTCGGTGATTACTGGTAGACGTTCCCGTTTGCTCCTGGCACGTGGCTATGTATTGCACTGCTTTCTGCACCCTTGTGCTCTCCTGGGGCATGGGATCAGCTCTCCTGCTTTGCCCGTTGCTGGAAGATGTGCTGTTCTGTCCCCTTTGCCCGTGATCTGTTGCGTAACAAACCATTCGTACCTCCCTGTCTGTCACCCTTGCATGGAGTCGGGCCTTATCCACAGATTGCCCCTATTCATCTCATCAGGACAACTGCCCTATAGCTGCCATGACAGAGCCAGGCCCAGCTTCCTTGAGTTAAGAGGACAACAACCCACCTCCTTTCCTTTTGCTACAGCTTTAGGAATGCTTGATTGCAAGTGGTGTGGGCAGAGCAAGTGAAACTCTGATATTTATCAAAAGGCACTAAAGGTGAATCTTCACTCCAGATGAGCAGACCCGCTGCTCGGGAACATGGGCACTGCCAGGCTGCATCAGAGCTGGGGCTTTTCTAGTCGTGCTTCGTGTTCATAAGCCCGGGAGCTGCTGAGGCAGGTGGGAGAATCCTCCGGTAGGTAGATTCAGGGTGATCAGAGATTTCTTCCTGACCTCCCAAGAGTGGCTTAAATCCTGCAGCGAGGGCTTTAACTGCAAACAACATGGCGAGCTCTGGCAGGTGGCGGCGGCAGCGGTAAGCGCTTCCACAGGCAGCCACGATGCTGTCGGAGGGGCTGGCAAATGCTGACCGGTGGTTGGGGACCACCTGCAGACACCGCTGGCGGTGGCACGGGGGGTGGTGGCACGTGGCGACCTCCTGCAGGCGCTGCTAGCAGTGTTTGGTGCCTTTTCATAGGGGGTGTGCCACCATGCTCAGGGGGTGCGCGTGCACCCCCTACGTGTCACCAGTGATGAAAGTCCAGTGCTGGAGACCTCAGTGAATAAGTTCTTGGCATCACTGACCTCCTATGGCAGCGACTTCCACAAGCAAAAGAAGGGGAAACTTGAGGTAGAGGGAGACGGTTATTCAGCTTCTTCAGCTATACGGTGCCCTTACCAAAAAGGCTTAGAGCAGGGCTTGTCAGTATATGGCCACGTGGACCAGATCAGGACCACGGGGCCATTGGATCCTGCCCACAAAGCGGGGGCAGCAGAGAAGTGGTGATTGGGGCCTAGCACCAACCTGCCTTCCGTCCAAGTTGGGTCATGCTGGCCCACCTCCCAGTAAATCTTGCCAACCCCTGTCTTAATAGGCCTGAGTATCAGAACATGTTCGTGTTCCCTCTTTCTCCATGCACAGCTTTGGAAGCCTCCTTAAAAGCTCAGCACAGTTCTTATCAGGTGGGTGTGAGGATAGTTAAGCACAGAGCTGTTCGCCGCCTCCTTTTCCCCGTGTCCAACCCGGCGGAGGAGGAATCTGGCAGTACCAGCCCTCCAGTGGTGTCACACGTGGAAATGAAATGCAAGTCTTTTATGCAGAAAATATGGGCCCGGTCTATGCACAGACTTGCGTCAGTTTATCTGAAGGTATATTGAAACCAGTTTTAATTAACCCTTGTGCGGTCATGCTTAATTCAGTTTAAACCTGGTCTACTAGTTTAGCTTGCAGTAATGCAGGTATGGATTAAGGTGGTTTCCGCACTAGGGTTGATTATGGGATAAGTGT